CCAGGAAGAACAATGATTTCAACAACATTATGAATGACATGCATGCACTTTTCTGCGATTATGTATGTGAAGAGACATGTACTTTATTTTGAAATATTTGAATAATTTTAGTTAATTTTTATTTTTCGTTGATGTACCTAGAGAAAAGCTATAGTGTTTCAAGTGCTCTTCCTCTTCCCTTTGTATTATCACAAATATTGTTCTTCATGAAACTTGTTTGTAGCAGTTTTTTTTCCAGATTTACAAGTCTAACTTTAGCATTGAACACATAATCCAAGAAAAAAAAGAGAAGTGACTTGATTATGATGAAAGTAAATGAAAACTTGAAGATAAAGGAAGATAAAAGAATCAAGTCAGTTGTACTCAACTTTCAGATACCTCATCTAGTAAGGTTTGAGCCTAAATATTTCCATTGTTCACTTTTTCTTAGAGTGTATCCATGCAATTTTACTTTATACGATTTGATCTATTTTCGATTAAGTTTTCTAGTTTGATTGACACATACTGAGGCAAGTTGCTTGTTTATAACTTTGAGCATTTGTAGCCAACTCATGGTATTAGAAACATCATTCGCTAGTAACTTTGAGGCTAAGCTTTTCTTTCGGTGACGTAACATATAACTCTTAGCCATTTGACTTGAAAGATCCTTTATTTCCGATCTCTCTTTGGAGTTAGGTGGAACCTAAGTTTTTAAAGTGAATGAAAAAGATTAAGTTTGAGGTTGCTTTTGGAAGTGAGCAAAGTTCTAAGTTTGAATTTGAAGTATTAGAGATAAGTGGTAAAAAATTTAAAACTTTAGAGAAAATAAGAAGTGGAAAAGGTCACTTCTTCAAAAAAAAAAAGAGAAATAATATAAAAGGATAATTGAATCTCTAGTACCATTAAGAAGGAACAAAGGGGTATGAGAATAGAAGGTGAATTAGACACCTAACTATAAAGGTTTACAACTACTTTTCTAAAAAAATCCTACCCGAACATAAGGCAAGTTGCAACCTAAAAAGACCTCTTATGTGTGGGTTATGATTTTTATGATAAATTATATTAGAACATGTTCAAGTCAAGTATAATTTAATTTGCATGTTGATTGAGTAATAACTCAATCCACTGATAAAGTTAAGTGAGATGAGAGACAGGTTGTGTACTCGTCAATGTTGAGGAGATTTTCCAAATTTGCTGGATGGAAGTTGAAAGTTGGAACAATGGTCAGGTAATGATAAAAATATGGTGATGTTCAATTGTTATAGTACGGCTTGTTGTCTGGTGAAATGTACAGTTGTAGGCAAGTTGCTTGAGGACAAGCAAAGATTCAAGTTAAGGTTTCTGATGACAGTCTGTCATTACATCTAATTAGTCAAAGAAGCGGAGAAAAATAAAGGATAGAGGAGCCAAAATAATGAACAAAATCCCAATAAGTGAAAAATATCCAAGTATGGAGGAATGAGACTTAGTGAAAATTCTGGTGGAAAAAGGTGAAAAAACACGCAACTAATGAAATAATCACGTGCAACATCGTGCGCTATCGTGTGCGCGATAGAGGAAGAAAAGTTGCATCGCACGCACGGTGCTTATATAATGTGTGCGATGGATGCTTTTTAAGGATATTTTCACCTGTTTGACAAGGGTTACAAATTTGGAGTCTACATGACAATTTTGAGAGTACAATCAAGAATATTTAGGGCATTTAAAGCCATTGGAGGTCATCTCTTTAAGGGGCTTCTTATGTTATTTGCATCTATCAATTAAGGTAATGTTTTCTTAATAATGTGTAACTAAATTCTCTTAGGTTAGGTTGTGTTCTAATGAACCTATTTCTATATTGATGGATTTTATGTTGATTTGATTGTTGTATGAACCTATTGATCTATAATTCTATTCAGTTGTTTCTTACTCTTAATACTTTTTATTTGGGATACTCTGTTAATATTATTTTGGACACATAAGGATTACTAACCCTTAGCATATGTGTTGGATCTATGGGCAATTGTTCTACTTACGCTGGTCGAATAAGGATAGGAGACCCCGAGTAGTGGCATAATGAATTAAGATTTTATACATCGCCTAATCCTACTTACACTGATGGACTAGGGATAGAACGCTAGAAGTAGTGGTTAGTGAGTTAATTCGTGAGGGATCAACTTTAATAGTTTTGTTAATTCGTCGTGAAGTTATAGTGATAAGATCATTCATACAGACATTAGACATCAACAATAGAGGAATATGGGATTCTACAATCCAACCTGGCCATTTTCGTGACATTGTTTTCTTGATTAATTATTTTTCACACAGAAACTTGAAAAACTCCATTTTGTACTGTTTTACTTTAAATTGCATAAACCTTGTCTTGTCTGAACATACTCCTTAAAGGTTTAATCTTTTTATTATCACGAAATTATCGGCACATTTGTCGAAAGTCGTTAGTGCTGCCAATGGAAGATACAAATATATGAATTTCTTTTTCCATTGAACTTTGAAGAATGACCCAAGGGAACCTGAAAAGATCTAACAACAACATTTATTTACTGTGTTCTAATTTTTGTACATAGACACTGATTTTAGTTGCATGGTTACTTGTGTAAAGTCAATGTATATGAAAAGTAATGTGTATTGTTGATTTTTTAATAAAAACAGTTCAATTCATGTCTACATTGTTTGAGTGAGTACACTTTTAGCCTTTATTATTGATTTTGCATGTGCTAAAGTACATTGTTATTCCTTCTTCAACTCATCTACAATTGTTGAAAGTTTTGTTATTGTTTTGAGGTGAAGTTTCAAAAGAGTGCATTGAGGATGATGATCATAATGAGGATGATTATGCTAGCATCCAGAGGACCGCTTTTTAAGTAGAAGAAACTTTACTGTTGCCTACCTAGTATGAGAAATAACATGTTTCTCTAACTCTTTTAAAAAAGTTATAATTTTTTAATTTGTCTGAAATAAAAGAAGCAGATCTTGAAGTAACATAGAGTAACCCATTGATCTGATTTTGTTGTTTGTTGTTTGTTGTGTAGGTGGGGCTTGTAGATATGGTAACCTTTATAGTCAAGGGTATGTAAATAACACTGCTTCTTTGATGAGCCTCCCCACCCTATGCAGGATCTAGCACAACGAATGAGCGGATCATATCATTGACACCGACAATACCGACATGGAATGATAAGTGATTTTTGATGCATTTGCTATAAATTCAATTTGATTTTTCAGTTAAAATGTTACTATGCTTATTAGATGTGAAGATTCATTTTTGCAAAAGATATGAAAGAATCATTATATCCTAAAGAAATAAATGTTAATTTCAATGGTCCAAACCAATTTTGGATTTGTTTTTAAAGCAATGTCACTATTTGAAATTCTAAGTATCAAAATGCTACGGGTTGAAAAACAAATACTAGAATTACTGTTTTAGTATGGGTTCGGCCAAAAAAAAAAATATAATCACTAAAATATCTTTTTTTAATGTTTTAAAATTTATTTATATATGTTTTATTATATTTTAATTATTTAATTGATTTTTAAAAATTAAAAATTATTTTTATGTTTTAAAATATTGATAAATAAATATTTTAATTAATTTTACATTATAATTAAATATTTTAAATAATATGTTATTTCTCTTGTATTTGAATATAATTAGAAAATATCTTTTGCAATTATATGTAATTAAATTTTTAATATTTTATATAGTATTTAATTACTTAATTAATTAATTACCTAATTAATTAATATAATTTTTTTATTAAATAAAATGTAACAATAAGCAATTTTATTAATATTATTGAGTGGAAAAGATACATCAATTTTGTCTACGTAAATGACTGTCAGTTCCACATATTTTACTCTTTTTTACTCGCAACCCCCTGCCCAAGTCTTGGGCTTGCCGTCTTGGAGGAGATGGAGTAGAGTCGGAAGACAACTCTTCATCTTTAGCTACACCATCATCTTCAAATACATCTTCATGTTGATGTGATGTATCGACCATATCCACATCAGTAACAGAAAAACCTGACCATTCATGAGCTGATGTTCAGTTAGGGTAAAGTTAGGGGCTAACTGGTTTGGTTGGTTGAAGGTGGTTGAAGGGATTTGTTGGATGGGAGCATAATAAATATCGTCAGTGCGGTAGGTAGAAGTGGGTTGAGAGAGTAAAGGATTAAATGTTTGTTGACGTGATTGGGGGTAAGAGAAATCAAAGTTAGGTCGAGGAATTGGAGTGAATTTGAAGGATGGTCGAAGTGTTGTTTGTTGCTGGTAAGAATCCACATTGCAAATTCACATGTAGAGCTGCATTGTGTAAAACGAGCTCAATATGGGAGATCACTACTATAAGCGGATCCCACACTTGCACAACAACTTCTATGTCATACGATAATAAAAAATTAGATTCGGAAATTATTAGCCGCAACATCAGGGAACTTGTTAACAACGACACTTCACTAAAAGTTAAATTCATACAAGCCCATATTGCCAAAAAATACGGTTACAGGATCTCATACAGGAAATCTTAGATTGAAAGATAAAGGCCATTGAATCACTTTATGAAAATTGGGAGACGTCTTACAATGATCTACCACAGTGGTTGTTGGTGATGAGCACCTATCTTCCTGGAACTATTATATAGTTGAAAACACTGTCAATAATTACAGACGACGGAACCCAATTGGGCGACAACAGGAAGTTTCACCTTCTTTTTTGTGCGTTTCAACCGTGTATTCGTGGTTTTACTTATTGTAAACCTATTGTGTAAATTAATGGAACATGGTTGTACGACAAGTACAAAAACTTTGTTGATGGTTATGGCATAAGATGAAAACAGTAACATTTTCCTAATACCATTCACATTAGTTGAAGGTGAGACAAAGGATGGTTGAAGTTTCTTTCTCAGATCTATGTCTCATATCTGAATGACATTTATCAATCAAGAGTGCTTACGATGATCCTGAAAATGGATGGTAAAATCCTCCATTTTACATGTTTACTATATCAGACACATTGCACAAAATTTCATGCATGAGTTCAGAGACAAAGAACTACGGAAAACACTTGTCAACATGGGTATGACTCCATCTTCACATGTTTATAGTTACAATAAATATTTATTGAGTTATTCACTTTTAAATGTTTTACCTAACGCTTTTACTACAGGATATATGTTGACGGAGACAACATTTAACTACTACCGAGGAAAAACACGAAGAACAAATAGAGCAGCTTTGGAGTGGATAGACAGTATTCCCCGAGAGAAGTGGGCGAGGGCGTTTGACGGAGGACAATGGTGGGGACACATGACAACAAATCTGGCCGAAGCAATGAACTCGGTACTTAAGGCTACCCGAAACCCTCCTATTACTGCAATGGTCAAATCTACATACTATCGTCTGGGATCGTTGTTTGGAAAACGAGGCCATGATTGGACAAAAATGTTGGCTTCCAATCAACGTTTCACGGATAACTATAATAAGGTAATGGCTGAAGAAGCGAGTAAATCTAGCAGTCGTAATGTCATCCAATTCGATCGCAAGAGATTCTGTTTTATGGTTGCCGAAAGGATTAATCAAAATGATGGTCGACCATTAGGAGCTTTTAACGTTGATCTCAGGAGAGAGTGGTACGATTGTGGGAATTTTCAAGCATTTTAGTTACCTTGCTCCCATGTAATCGCAACATGTGCTAGCATACGACAAGACCACACCATGAACATACCAGATGTTTTCAAGATTCTGAGTGTTTTTAAAGTCTACAAAGAAAGCTTCCATGGACTTCCACACCACGAAAATTGGCCAACATATGAAGGATTTACTCTTTGTCATGATGATACAATGCGAAGGAAGAAGAAAGGACGTCCAAATAGTACAAGAATTAGAACCGAAATGGACGATCTTGAGAAAGAAAAGAGAAGGTGTGGTATTTGTCGAGAAATTGACCATATGCGTAAAAAAATGTCCAATTGTAGCAGGCCCGTCAAATCGACCCGTCTAGATTAACTTGTTTGTTTTTTTAAATTTAACTTTCAATTAATATAACTTTAATTTAGTGGAATTTCAATTAATATAACTTTCATTTGTCTCATACAACTTTTATTCAACATTCGACAATATCAAAATAAATAAACCGTAACCAAACAAACAAGACGATAAACATTATAACGATTTAAAATCTAAGCATGCCTAGACTACTACAATCATCAAGACAATATCTTCTTGTCCATACATCATCATAACACAATCATAGTCGTTTTTTACAGCTTTCCAGGCCTTGACATCTCCATCTTTACCAAGTCTTTCAATTCTTCTAATCTTTTCACCTTCAAGAATTTCTCCTTCTAACCATCTGACCAAGCTTCTCTGGAAGTGATCAAACGTCATTGTGTTCCACAATCGGATCTTCAGCGGTGACTTCATTGGAGAAAAAACCAGTTTAACATCTCTTTGGTGAGAGGAGTATTTGGATTGGTAAAATACTCCATTTTCTATGAAATTGTTTAGACTAAAATGATGAAATAGACGTGGATGATTTGAGATCTAGAGGTACCCAAACAATGCTATATATAAAAAATTTAAAAATAATAAAATATTCCCTGCTCTGCCAATGGATGGCCGAGCTTCTTAACGCAATTATTGATGTGCAATTGATAAAAATGAGTTATATTTTAAAATATAATTATGGTATTAATTGATGATATTTATTATAAAACTAATTTTATAAAAATATAAATGTTTTATTATATTATAATATTATTTAAAAAATAATAATTCTTATTTTTAATGTTATTATATTATTTAAATCATTTTTAAATAATTTTCACAATTTTTAATATTAATTTATGTTATTTAACCTGTGGCATTTTTAAATAATTTACTAAAATGGTGGCATTCTAGTGTTTTTTCAACCTGTGGTATTTTGGTACTTACTATTTCAAATAGTGGCATTGCTATAAAAAAATCCAAATTTTGTGAGGAACCGCTTGTGTTTCATGTTATACTCCAGAGCACTTGACAGAGAAATATACTAATGTCGCATCCCTTTTGTACCTTCTAGCTTTGATTGTAATTGTTATCTTGCATCACTCGGATTACAAGTGAGTACAGATAGATTTTGGGTGACTAGGATGTGTACTCCAACATGATTTCTTGAAGATCAGTAGCGACTGTTAGACGATAAGCTTCAACCTAGGGGGGTGAATAGATCACTAATTTTACAACCAAAACTTTTGGCAAAAATCTATTTTAAAAAAAATGGCACATCAGAAAAATGACCAGAACCTACTATCGAAAAGAAATATATGTATCGCAAACCAAACAGAATGATAATGAACATAAATGTTTAACAACGATCAAGCTACAAACCAATTAAATGCAATGCTAATCGTAACTCGTATATCCAATGAATAAAAACACAATTAAAATACGCACAAACAATTTATGGAACACTTGGTGTTCAATCGATAGCAAATGGAAATATAATTTGTTTTGTTAATGCTAAAAGCCAATCACAATCAAAGTGATTATGATTATATCAATAACAACACTTTTAAAAGATAATAGAAAACAATTTCCAATCGAATTGATCAAACAACGATGAATTCACTAAATTAGAAATCAATAAAAAGAGTGATAAAGAAACAGATAGATAGATAGATAGATAGATAGATAGATAGATAGATAGATAGGTAGGTAGGTAGGTAGGTAGAAAGAGAGAGAGAAAGAGAGAGAGAGAGAGAGAGAGAGAGAGAGAGAGAGAGAGAGAGAGAGAGAGAGAGAGAGACCAAGATTTGTTTAGGCAGTTCCCCAATCAGCCTTGCTATAGGTACGTCTGCCCTCAATTCAAAATCGAATTAAGATAATATCGTTAACCTTTTCTTTGAAAAATTGTATACAAGAGATAAAGAATGCAAACCCCAAAAACCCTAGTGTTTTGTGTTGAGTATTCCACCCCTAACCCTTGATCAAGTGACCAACAAATGCGGCTACAATCCTTCAATTATCCAGAGCGTGCAACTTGTTAAAACCTCAAGATTCCCGAACATAATTCATCGTCCCAAGGCCTTTACTCAATCGAATATGTGTTGATGTCATCTTGTCCAAAACTTTCAAATCAATCCGATCTTGACGTTTCCAACCCAATATTCTAGGTTACACCAAGCCTAATTGGACTTTATCAAATCTAATCTAGATGGTCACCCAATCAAAAAATGATTACATGTAGTTCAATTGTGTGTATGCATAGAAGAAGGAATGAAGATGTTGGGCAACTTTCTAATCTGGTTTCGTTTAGGTTTTATTCATTAGGAGCCTTACCTAAAAGAAGTTGCATGTATGAGTATATATATGTGTGTGTGGAAGAAAGGCAAAGAGGATGCAAAAAAAAGATGTAAAAATAATTTTTCAAGTTTTAAGTTGCATAGATCGACCTATGAAAGTCACAGGTTGGCCTATGAAGGTGTTCAGGCCGGCCTGTACGACGACCTGTGGTCAGAGCCTACAGTCTTCGTTCTTGGAGCGTGGGAGCCGACCTGAAATATTGATGTACCAAGCTTTACTGAAGCAAAGGCTTCCATAGGTCGACCTGATCATGTATAGGTCGTCCTATGCAGCTATGTTGACACACAAACATGATTTTTGATGTGTATGACATGCCCAAGACCTATCAAACTTGTCCAAAGACTCTTTTATGCATCATAAGGCTAAGAGGATAAAAGAACATCTAAATGTAGGTTGATACCGTCCAATATACAAAAATGCTACGCTATACTACCTTGTTTGACATCATTCAAAACCCGGTTAATTTGTTGATAGCATATACTTCTCCTTTTTTATGATGGCAAACGTAAATGATGTAATTGTAGCCCGTTGCATTTTTCTTCGGTACATGGAATAACTCTCCCTGAATTTATGCATTGTCCTTGATAACTCCCCCTAAGTGTATATATATCATGCACAAATAATCCACTTCATTATCTTCTCCCCCATTGACAACATCAAAAAGAGAAAACCCAAATTGTTAGTAGCATCACGCAGATGCACAACTCACACATTTCTAATACTACACAAAGGAAAATGCAAATAAAAAGAGACGCATTCCCATACAACAAATATGTAAATAGCCCAAGCATAATAATTAACAACAAAAATATCCATAAGAGATACACAAGTCAATACTTAGTACAACAAAGTAACTACTTAAAACATTATTCTAGCCACCAAGAATTAGCAAGCAAACAACCATAACTAAGAAATGCAATAGATGAAACTCAAAGGATACAACCAAAAGAAAAGACACCAAATAACACCATATCATAAAACCCAGTCAATGCCTTCTGTGTCCTCTTGGTCTTGGTCTTGCATTAAATGTGCCAAATCTCACATAGCTCCCGGTAGAAGCTATCATAATGATCTCCATCTATTTCCTGGGTATGGCTAATGTGATTCAACTGCTCCATCTCAGCACTGTGATAAGTGCTAAAATATACTGATTTTGAGTGTAAATAATTGACATTTATTGACTTAATTCAACCAATAAACCTCAACTTTTGTGCATATGTTGTATAGTTTATATTATAGTGTATATATTGTGTATCATGTAAATATGATTGAGTTTAATTGATTTTCTCTCATTTTTGTAGGTATATAAGCAGTGATATTTTTTTATTGTCTTATAGAGCATCGAATAAGCTTTCCAACGCTTCCGACCGCGCGTAAAACAGAGTTACAGTTTAAAAGTTATGGTCAAAACAAGTGTTGGTTCTACTGTCATGTTCGCTAAGCGAACAAAAGTACGCTAAGCAAACAAAAGTACGCTAAGCGAACAAAAGTACGCTAAGCGAACAGGAATTTCTAAAACGTGTGAAACACACTGTTTTGGCAGTAGAAAATGAGGCATAAGTTCCCTGTGTGAATGGGACTTCGCTAGGCGAACACTGGAACCTATTTTTGCCTATTTAAGTGATTTTTCAGCATTTTATAGGTTATGTTGTTTGGGAACTTTTTACCCCAACTTCATCAAACACATTCTTGAGTAGATTTAGCTTAGAAACAAAATTGGAGGGTGCATCTTGATGATTCAGAGTTGAATCCACTTCAATCGGAGTTGACAGACCGTGAGATTTGTGTTCTTCTTCCTTCCTCTCTATATATTTTTCATTTGTTGGTGTTTTGTATGTAAGTTTATCTTGATTGTATATATATCTATGGATCTTTATATATAATCTCTTTTACAACTCTTTATCGATGGTTATCTTGATTTTTTACTTAATGGGTTTGGATTGCTATAGACATATACGGTTCAAACTCGATCTAAGATGAACATCTGTTAGATTCTAAATGCTAGACATAGATTTAGGACTAATATTCACGTGGGTATCGATTCTTAATGCTCCGTGTTGTCGAGTTGTGTGAGACATCAACCATGAGACGATACGGTTAATCTCTTGACTTTGCGTTAGACATAACCTCTATTGTGAGTTATATGTGATGATATTGACGAGCGAATTAGGTTGCGTGCATTTGATCCATATATTTTTTAGTACATGATGGGTAGAACGAAATACAACTCCTGACGAGTTTTCTCATTTCTTAAGAATGTATTTGTTTTCTTGTTTTATGTTTATTTTTTCTTTTGCATTTTTATCCTAAACCATTTA